GCTCTGCTCCTGGCACCGTCCGACCTGCTGGGGCAACGGTGGGTTTCAAAGAAGGCCCTGCCCTCGGAGAGCATCGCGGTGGTGTCGGGCATCAGTGTGAGCCAGACAGAAGGACCAGAGGAGTGCTGGAGTGTCAGTGCTGACTGTGGCGATGCTCAGCCCGTCTAAGAAGTGTGTCCCGGAAGACCTCCAGGAGTCTAGGGGGGCTTACGAGGCTAGCTCTAGACAGTCTGGAACAGCAGGGCAGAGGTCCCGGGGTGAGAAGCTCCAGTGTGGCTCCGAGGACCATGTCCTGCAGCCAGACCCCCACCCCCTTCTGCAGCTGTGTGCTTGTGGTAAAAACCTCTCCCCAGCTCCTCCAGAGTTTTTTTGGGATTCAGAGGTCACACCTTAAGTGAAGAGCACTAAAAATGCCGGGCCCAACGCCCGACAGGTGCGAATTCTGTTGCGCCTCTCAGTCGAGGTGAGAGCCCTTCAGCAGCTGTGGCCTGGGTCTGCCTCGGCAGTCTGAGTACAGAAGGAACAACTGACCTGGCTGGAGACTGAGGGGGGGGTTTCCTCCCTGTGGCCCCCAGGTTGCCCCCCATGTGGCTCCTGCAGTGCCTGCCCCTTGGTCCTGTGGACCAGCAGCCCCGGACTTGTTCTGTCCCCTGCGTCACCACCCCACGGACAGACCATGTAGGGATGCATGTTCATCCATTCATCCGAGGCTGTACCTAACCCAGGCTCCTCTGTGTGTGTGTGTGGAGGGGGAGTGCTCTGGTTACTGTATCTCGGAAGCGTCCCCACTCCCGGAGTGAAAGGACACTTTAGCGACTGTTCCAATGCTCACTTCACGGCACACCTACCAAAATTGGAACGCTCAGAGACCAGCGTGGCCCCTGTGCAAGGATGACACGCAGATTGGTGAAGTGTTTCATATTTAAAAAAAAAAAAGTCTTGGGACCAGCAGGTGGCATGGTGGTTAGGGCACTGGATACTCCCACATGGTCGACCACAGTTCGAGTCCTGGACTCTCTCTCTCTCTGGCCAAATTAAAATACATGAATGAATAAATAAAATTAAATAACTCTAAAAAAATAAGCCTTTCCCAACAGCTTACAATTTCAGATATGTCACTGGCGGAAGTACTTGGACCCTAGAGGACAGAGTAGGTGCGAGGATACTGGTGTGAAGTGGAGGGGAACCACAAAAAAAGCAAACAGAACAGTCCAAAGAGCCTCTCTGACTGGACATTTCAGGGGCAGGACAGGGACCAGCTGACCTTAGAGGTCTGTTTGCTTGCTTTGGAATGTCCTCTGTTTCCTAGGTAGCCTTATTCCCCATCTCCTGGAAATGGGGCTCTGGTTTGAGGTTTCTGAAATTTAGCCCTTCATAGCAGTTGTGGGCTTCAGGCTCTCCATCTGAATGTAGCCAGGCCCGGGTTCTAGTCACCTACGTATGGGTACAGGCTCTTGCTAGGGTTTCTGGCTTTGGTAGCGAGTGCCACTTGTAGGATGTGTTCGACCTCAGGGTGGGACACGGCTGCTCTCAGGTGTGGACCTGGTCTCCATTCGAATCCTTTATGAGAAAGATCTCCATCCCCAAGTTGGACCAGCAGGAGTCTGACTTGCAGTGCTTCGATTTCCTAGGTACTTGACAGCTCTGAGGGCACCTGGCCTCAGAGTTGAAAACAAATGTGCTGGGACCAGCAGTTAGTGTAATGGCTATGTCGCTGGACTCCCATGTAGTCGACTGCGGTTTGAGTCCCGGACCCGGTGGCTTAAACTCACACCGGGCACATGTGCGTACATGCCCAAGATCCCGAGAGGAGAATGGAGGAGAAGGGATTGCAGCGTGGCCATCCCCTCTGGGGGGTGATTTCTCACTTTCTATCTCTCTGTCTCTGTCTGTCTGATGAGCGCACGCACCCTATAGCAAAAACCTCTCCAAAAAAAGAAAAGAAAAGAAAACAAATGTGCTTCAGTTTTGTAAAGGGTATTTGTGCCTCTTTTACACCCTGGAGATCTGGCACTCCTCTGTGCCCTGCCACCTGCCACAGTGCTGTGCTTGCTAGACCTTTTCAAAGGGCACCGCAGCTCTCAGGTCACTCCCGAGTGCCCTCCCTCCCCTTTCTGGGGAAAAGCACATTCCTGCAGCCACAGCCCTGCCACTGATGTCCGAGAGACATCACAGCAGCCCCTGGTGCTTTCCAGCAGCCCGTCCACAGTTGTCCCCCAAGTGTCTTCAGTAGCTGTTTTCTCCCAACTAGAATCTCATCCAGGGCCATACATCACATGGGTTGCTCTGTCCCTTAGTCCCTGTGCCCCACCTCTAGTGTACAGCCCATGAGCTGGCAGGGAGAGGCTGCTTGGATGCTGTGTGCTTTGTGCTGTGCTGTCCTGGGGGCTGTCCCACAGGGATCAATGTGACATTGATCACAGGCTGTTTAAAATGCACCCCCGCCCACAGTCAGCTGATTACCTGTGGGGGACATCCTGCCCTGCTCATTGGTCCGCCCAGCTCCAAGGGGCAATGACACGTTGCCTGTCCGATGAAATTGGTCCTCTGATCGGAGTCTCCCATGATCATTACTTCTTGAGAAGGCAGGGCAAATTCTTAATTCTTTCCCTCTATTTCCAGTTTTCAGGGGAAGCAGTTGGTATAATCACTGTGGCAGCTGTCTTTATTTTTCCTTTTTCTTTCTCGAATGTCAAAATGGATTAATGGATTTTTATTAGTTCACGATATCATAATCTATTATACTCTTTTGTTTTTGTTGAGTGATGTTCAAATCACGTGATTGTGACCCATTGGGAGCCCCTGCCAGGCTGGCCTCTACATCCCTTTCGCCAGCACTTTCATTTTTTTTTTTAGGATTATTTATTTAATTTTATTTATCATTATTATTATTTTTTAATTTGCTGCAGGACACATGCACTGACTAGAGAGAGGCAGAAAGAGAGAGGCAAAGTAAGAAAGCAAGCCCCAGGTCCAGGACTCAACCAGTGTTGGCCACGTCAAAGTCCAGCACCCTAACCACCCCTTTCTTGTCCAGTGTCCTTGTCCCCCCTTTGCTGTCTCTTTCAGACCTTCTATCAGCCACAAAGCTCCAGTGTACCCTGGTTCCTTGCAGTGCAGAAAGGTACCCTGAAGCCCAGATGCAGGCCTGAGCTGGCCCCTCTAGCACACGTGCTGTTGTTTATAGTCCTGTGGTGGGCAGAGTTCAGGAATACGTTTCCTTTTTTTCCTTTTTATTTATTTTAGTTTTAGTTTTGCTAAAGGGTGCATGCACTTGCCAGGGAGTGAGCGAGAGAGAGAGAATGTGAGAAATCACCCTCTCCCCTGTGATGGTCACGCCTCCGTCTCTTCTCCTCCATTCTCCTCTTAGGATTTTGGACATTCACACACATGCACTTGGAGTGTTTTTCAAGCTACTAGATCTGGGACTCAGACCATGCAAATGGCCACGTGAGATCTAGCTGCCCCAAGTACCATGCCACCCCCAAAATCTTAATTTTTTTTTTTTTTGGAGAGATTTTCACTATAGGGCGCATGCGCTCGCCAGACAGACAGAGAGACAGAAAGCGAGAAATCACCCCCCAGGGGGGATGGTCATGCCACAGTCCCTTCTCCTCCATTCTCCTCTCGGGATCTTGGGCACACACGCACATGTGCCCGGCGTGAGTTTTAAGCCACCGGGTCCGGGACACGAACCGCGGTCAACTACGTGGGAGTCCAGCGACATAGCCATTACGCTAACTGCTGGCTCCCAAAATCTTAATTTTTGAAAAGATCTTTTGATTTTCTTTCTTTCATGAGAGAATGAGAGAGATGAGTTCCCTCGTGGAGTCTTGCCACATCGGGATCCTCCCTCGGACTTACAGCCAGTCAGGATCACAGGTGTGTTTAGAGCAGCCCAGGGTCTAAACCCAGGCTCTCCTGTGCAGCCATTGTTGAGCAGCAGTGGCCCATCGCCTCTGCCACCATAGCCAGGCCTGAACATCTTAGGTCTTAATACCACAGGTGACACAATTACTTATTTGCTTAATGCTAAAATTGATGTAAAAGAGGTTGTCGTATAAGAGTATTAGATTGCTGCTGTCAAGAAAACTGAGCAGGGTTTGTGAATATTTTGAGTGTTTAAGTTCTTTTTGTCCTTGGTATATATTCTACTTCAGAGGAATGAAATACTCTGGGTGGTTTGTTTGTTTTAGAGAGAGAGACTTTTGCTTTAGGGTGCATGTGCTCACCAGAGAGTCAGAGACAGAAAGTGAGAAATGACCCTCCAGGGAGGGTGCCACACCGCAGTCCTTTCTCCATTCTCCTCTTGAGGTTTTGGGCAGGCACGCACATGTGCCCGCCATGAGTTTTAAGCTGCTGGGTCCAGGACTTGAGCTGTGGTGGGCGGTGGGAAAGTCCAGCAACATATCCATTATGCCATGTGCTGGTCCCAGAGTATTTTGTTTAAAGTCTCTTGACAGATAACTCTCTCATTCTCTGGTTATGTGTCTCATATGATACACAGTTAGCTTTATTTCGGTTTGTTTTCAGACATGAAAATTTTTAAATAATTCTTATTTTTATGTACAAAATGATTACATGGTTCAAAAGTCAAAACTATATCAATTAGCGGGAACCAGCAGTTAGCGTAATGGCTATGTCGCTGGACTCCCACGTAGTCGACCGCGGTTCGTGTCCCGGACCCGGTGGCTTAAAACTCACGCCGGGCGCGTGTGCGTGCATGCCCAAGATCCCGAGAGGAGAATGGAGGAGAAGGGATTGCGGCGTGACCATCCCCCCTGGGGGGTGATTTCTCGCTTTCTGTCTCTATGTCTCTCTCTGTCTGTCTGGCGAGCGCACGCGCCCTACAGTGAAAATCTTTCAAAAAAAACAAAAAAACTATATCAATTAGGGACCAGCAGTTAGCGTAATGGCTATGTTGCTGGATTCCCATGTGGTCAACCTCAGTTCGAGTCCTGGACCCGGTGGTTTAAACTCACGCCGGGCGCATGTGCGTGCGTGCCCAAGATCCCGAGAGGAGAATGGAGGAGAAGGGATTGCGGAGTAGCCATCCCCCCTGGGGGGTGAGTTCTCGTTTTCTGTCTCTGTCTTTCTGGCGAGCGCACGTGCCCTATAGCAAAAAAAAAAAAAAAAACTCAAAAAAAACCCCAAAAACTATATCAATTATATAAAAGATACCCTCCCTACCTCCTTCACTCTCTTAGGCAACCACTTTTACTTCTGCTTTATCCTGCAAGAATAAGCAGACACGCACACATTTTCCTTCCTGTCTTTCACAGGCAGTAGGAAGTACTGTTGACACTTTTGTTGTTTGATTTGCTGTAGTGCACATGTACTCACTAGGAAAAAGACGGAGAGCCAGAGAAGAAGGGAGAAAGCCCCCAGGGGATGTCATGTTGTAGTCCCTTCTCCATTCTCCTCTTTTGGACAGCCATGCATATGCACCCAGCCTGTCACAAGGTCCAGGACTCGAACCACACCAGCTGTGTGGGTCCCGTTGCCTTAACCACCATGCCGCCCACTGTTATTCAGCTCAGCTGTGACTATCAGTCCTGACTACCGTCAGGCCTTCTGCTGAGGAATGCCACTGTGACTGACATTGCCCTGTGTGGCCTCACTGTGGACAAGGGCTACCTTCGGATCCGTGCTTGGTCTGGGCTGCCGGGTGAAAAGCACAGGTTTCTCCATCTGCTCTGGTTTCTCATCAGCACCTCCGGAGAGGGCCATACCCATAGAGGGTGCTCGCGGCCTCTGGATTCTTGTCAGGATGATGTGGTAAAAGATGGTATCATGAAGTAGTTTTCATTTAATATGCTTCAATTGTAATGTGAAAAGGAGAAAAACTACTAAATTGGATATAGTAGGCAATCAGAGCATGTGAAATCATTAAATGCAAGTTGATAGCAAACCACTGAGTGAGATC